CCCTGCAGTTTTATCATTGTCCAGGATCCTTTAACTTTGGTGTCAGTGTTGATCGAAATTTATGTTGGTCTGTGACATAGTGATGTAATACTGCATGTAGCTGATAGGTGCGGTATTATTGCATGTCGTATCAGAGGATGATGATGGTGTTGTAGTCGAAGAGGCAGTATTTTATAGTATTAGAATCGTTTCTAACATTCTTGCTGAAAGCAAGCACTCATTATATGGTAAAGTAAATTGTTATCCTACAATCTACCCTAGCAGATTACTTTACCATTTTTGGAGTGAAATTGATTTTTTTGGCTTTCTTTTTAGCCTTTGCATGTTAAGTTTAAGTTTTTTGTCGTTAAATACGAATAACATAGACGAATAACGTTTGATTTATTTTTTAAACCTTTTTATAAAGCTGTTTTAAACAGCTAAATTAATTTATCGCAATACAGGAGATATAGAATAGATAGCCAGAAGCAGAAACGGTTTAGCGTAAAGTATGCATTCTTGAAGTGTCTGAGTGTGCCAGTTCAGTATTTCATGGTTGAATGGATTTCGGTTTGAAGGTGGTAGACATTGCATATTTCAATATACGTGTTTATTTTACTTTTGATTAAATATGTCTTAAAATTTATATGATCAGTGGAATTATTTGTAGAACTGCCACCATGGTCTGTTGTAAAACATGCACATGAACATCACAAGTCAAAGAAACACAGCAGAAGGCATGAAAAAAGCCATAAAAGGAAACATTCATCTGAAAAACACAGAAGCCACCGCAGCCGCTGACTGTGCTGCCTTTTATTAAGTTTTTATTTTTGTGATATATGTATTATTAAAAGAATGCAAGTGCTGTTTGTGATAGTTGCTTTCACAATAATATTAACCCAAAAATTATGGTAAAGGTAAAATGTCATTCTTTGTCATTTCGTATCGCGCAAGCAGACATCAAGAAGTGAGTGTCATGTGGGTGCAGATGCCTGCACTGCCAAGTTAATTACCGGATTTAACCAGGTCACTTTGCTTCTGAAATATTATCAACAAGTCACGTATGGAAATTTAGGATGACAAATATTTCTTTGAGAGAGAATGAAAGTTACTTTTGATGCCAAGAAATAGTTTCGTGTTTTGCCTACTGAAACAGGTATCAAATTTTACATTTAGACTGTCATTGTCACTGCGTTATCGGTATTCACTACTGACCTATCAGCAAGTTTGTTGGCATAGTGTTGCTGAGATCTGGTTCGAACACTGCAGGTGAGAGGGTAGTCTTTGTCTTGAATTCCCTTGAGCAAGGAATTTGCCTCACATTGCTTCAGACCGGAGTTACTCATTTGGTAGAGCGTCGAATTCAGGACCGATAATTTCGATTTCAAGTCTCTGTCGGGATCTTTGTCACTGACATTACTTGGTTCCCAGGTTGATAAATGCGTACCAATCCATGGGAAAGAAGCAGGAGATTATACATGACTATAGACTCTGCCTTTAAAAAGTAACATACTTCTAGCTGATGGCATAGAAATGGAGATTAGCGCCGCACCATGAAAAGAATGGTTTAATCATAAAAGTGAAGGAAGATCGACGTTCCAACAGTGACATACTTTCTTTTCCTTTCCTGTCAGAAAACCTAGGAACATCAGTACATAATCGATGGCCAGAACTAGTGCATACTGATAACAGTTGTAGATGCTATTACTTACTAATTTAGAATAACTACTACTAATATTCTGTAAAACGCGATACGATATCACTAGATTTGCCGCAGTTTTGAAGAGTACTAGAGATTTGACGTTTGCCACTGCGTATAAAGAATTTGATTGGCTAGCAGTATCGCCAATTCAGCTGTCCACATAATCGGCCACTCACTGGTTACGAACGATACTTTAGGCGACAGCCGCTTTCTGCAGTCTCGGTTTCTGCACTTTTTCGGATCCTCCTTGTAGCCTGTTTGATCGTGCAACGCATTTTGGATGGCTAACCTCTCTTTATGGGGATTTTCACCGAAGTTCTTATGCCTTCCTTGTCATTCATATGCGGCACTCAAAGCTGAATCGGTTTCTACGGTTCTCAAAGAGCGCTGCAAAAAGTTGACGATCGATCATCGGCTGGCGGCCCAAAGACGTATTGCTGCATATCTTAAACAAAACGTCTAGGAAGAGATCCCACGCTGAGCCAAATATTTGTTTTATCATTTTTTGACTGAATTATATCCAATCTCCAAAATAGGAAAAAAACAAGAGAGAATTGGAGAAGTCGTTTAAGTTCGTGGTGCGCCCACAATGGAGACAAGTCGAACGAAAGACGAACTTATTTTAAACCCATCAATTTCGTACCATTTATATTTCCAGAAATACTTGTTACCCTTTGATGAATTTCAATTCAGTTTCAATCGTTTTTCTGGGGTAATTCGCAATGAAGTCACCATGTCAAAGTTTTTTAAGCCGATAGCTGCTGTTTGACGGGACTTTCGATGATTCTACAAATTTTTACAAAATCAAACTTCTTTCTGAATTTGTAAACTAGCAAGCAAGTTTTGAAAGTATCAGTGAATTTGATGATGTTCCCTGCAGCCGCTGTTTATTATTCTATGTGATTCAAGAAAGTGAATGGCACGGATTCACGATGATCACGTTTAATTTATCAGTCTGTTCATGGTGATCGCCATGTATAATTTATACACAATACTAAAATGCATACTGTTACAAGATCTACATTCATATATGAGATATTTTTGTCGTGTTATCGTTGTATAGTTCGTTGAATTGTTCCGCTTCGGCTAATGGTGCTTGCTGCAACAGGACATATCCGGGTGCAGTGGAAGTGTAGCGCGAGTTCGATGCAGGTTTAACGGTTTCATGTCGCAAAGGCGATGTGATGGTGTACTTGAGCTTCTGAAAGTGTCCTGGTCAAAGAACATGGGGCAACGCCCTACCGTCTGTCGTCTCTTACCTCCATGCACGTGAGGCCTGGTCCATTGATGAAGGTTCTCACGACGCAGAATACCATATAACCAAGGATCGGCAAAATGGTTGTCAGGCATATAAGCCATCCAACAGCTTCTACCCACTGCGAGGTATGACCAACCATTTCGTTTAAGTCGTAGTTGCTGAGTTTTATGACGAGGATATACTAAACCAGGGTGTAAACTGCAGCCTTATAACTTTACCGTTTTTCATTACGACTGGAACGACAGGAATGATGTACAGAATTTCATACAAGGGGAATGCTAAGACCTTCCAGAAGCGATTTTCAATCATCTGCTTCATGTCGACTGCCAACAGGTGGGCACCTAAATATAAAATCATGTGATTCCTCTGCACAAAGTTTTCGTACACGTCTTACAGTAGAACCATGCTATCGCCACAATCTCGAAAGTAACTATCGTCCATGGGCTCAGAAGATCCAGAAACGAGTCGACCAGATTGAGTCCATAATATCCGGACTGAAGTAGCATGCTGTCAAGTTAAATACATACACAAAATAAAACACATACGGCAAAGGCTGGTCATTATGTTTATCATCACTACGGGTGACAAACCCGTTAGATCAGGTTTAATCCTAACTTTGTTCTTTCAATTCTTGCCAGCTATGGAATCATACGACATGTCAGCTTCAAGCTTGTAATAGCAAAATGCAAATTTGTCTTAAAGAAGGTTTCCATCATTATCAACTGAGACTGAGGGACTGGAGATTAAAGCCCTTGTTTACTTCTACAGAGTATGACAGTGTCGCTAACCAGCAGAAGCCACAATACTGTTTTTCAGCTCAACAATCGATAAGTCAAGAATGGTTCAGTTCTCACATGACTACACCATCTGATAATTTGGCTTCTCATAATTCTTTCTACGATGAATGGGAAGACAAACTAACAAACGAGCAGCCATGACTTTTTCATTTTATTAATCAATGTGCTTAAGGGCGGAATTCAAGACAAAAGTTACGATCTGGACAAAAATAGTGTCTACGTTTCCAGTTTCAAAATTAATGCTAATTTGGCCATTCTGATCTTCTGACTCTTTAAAGATCAAAAACTCATTCGGTCATCAGCCACAAGAGAGAGAGATAAATCACGGTGGCGAACTAACTGATGTAAAGAAATGTTACGTACGTACGTTTGACGTGTTTTCTGCATCGGTCTAAATCGAGCGCACAGACGATTGCTACGTAACGATTGTGAAGCGAATAAACGAGTGTATAAATTAAACTATCGAGTATGCTAATGTTGTGGGAATATGTGGACTTGCAGTCTCTATTCATTTCTAACCTTCGCTGGTTCATTCATTCATGCAATGATTTTATGTTCCGAAGCTTGCTGAATTTCCTAACTCCAGCAATGCTGCGAAAAACAGTATTGAGATACATTTAAAATTTATCCCCGGAAGCTGAAGCCGTCTAGGCGTACAAGCCTACGATTTAATAGTTAGAAGGCAAAACCATCTTTTCACGACCATGTGGTAGACTCTAGTGCTTTGAAGGACAGGGAAGAATCTATTAAACCACATTACCAAGTCAGCACTGTGACTGAGTTCTGGCTGTCTGTTGAGGATAACAAGAGAAACTTCTGCTACCGCGTCATTCGTAGGCTAAATGGCTTTAACGGGTATTTAAAAACATCATTATGGATAAATGATTAAAAAACAAAATTATTATAACGAAAGTATCAGAAGTGTAGCACGATGGAAAGATACTACATGACTGCCTCTTTGTAGTGTTAAAGAATCGTAGGGAAATGGAATGTCGACTTGCACCGCCTTTTGCGAACAAAAAAGGTGACGAATTTTGAACGGGCGAGAATGAAGCTTAAGGGTCAAGAGGCTCTGTGTTCAAAAAAGTCATGAAAATGATACTCAATTCAATATAATAAACTGGTACAGGCCAAGAACAACGTTGAAACCTGACTACAAAAAGCAACTGCGAGTTCATTCC